GTACTTGAGGGTGCCCGCGTCTGCTGCACTGCACCTCCTGCGACTCAACTGCCAGGGCCTCTACTTTGAGCCCAGGGCCTCGGATGGCTCCGGTCCGCACCCTGCGTGGTCTGTTGTGTGGCTTCCAGGGGCTAATCTTGCTGCTGCTCAGCACGCTTTGTGCACAACAGAGAAAGCCGTTGCTCTTGCCAGACTCGGTGTCAAATATGGCTTGAGGACTCGGGAGGCCGACGAGCAACAGGTTTTTGAAGCTCACAGGCCGCAGCATCAGTTCTTGAAGGTAAGGGTGTCAGCTCATTTTCGTCTGCATCCGCTCCCCCATGGACTTCAACGTTCTTCCCTCGTCCAGCTCCTCAAGCAGTGGGGCTGGTCCGGTAAGCCTTTGCAGCCCGACCGTGGCGACTCAAATGGGGCTGCATGGCTCGTTGGTGCTGCTTGCGATCCACCTGCACCTGCCCTGCCTCTTGGGACGGACTACGTACTGATTTCCAAAGTCAGAGACATAGGTGGCACCACTCGGCCGGCTCCTCTGCCCGTGTATGCCTCCCTGCGCACCAAGAAGGCCCTACTCCTCGACGATGACCCTGATGAGGCTCCTGCTGATCCCTGGGCCGGTGGATCAGATCCCTGGTCTCTGGCCCGGCCCCCTTCTGCTGCCGCCTCTGCGCCCGCAGCCCCTTCCACAGCTGCCGTTTCCAAGCTTGCGCAGATCAAAGCTGACTTGAAGCAGGACCTGCAACATCTCGTCAATGAGCAGCTTGAGGCCAAGCAGGCAACAAAGCCACCACCTGGACTCAGTGAGCACGACCATCGCCTCCATCAGCTCGAGGTTGGACTAAATGAAGTTCGGCAGCAGAATTCCAAGTTCGAGGGTTGGTTCCAAAGCTTTGGGGCTAAAGTCAGTGACCAAGCCCAGCAAATCGAGACCTTGACCGGTACGGTCAAAGAACAGCATCAGGAACTTGCCAAGGTTCGCACCGATGTCCAGGCCACTGTTCAATCTGCAGTTCTCTCTTTACAGTCCGATCTGTCAGCCCAGATGACTACACAGCTCGCTGGCCAGCTTGAGCAAATCCAATCCTTGTTTGCTGACAAGAAGCTCCGCGCCAGCTGACTACGTCCCCCCGGGCGCCCCACTTGGCGACGGGGCGTGCCGGCTTTTGCTTCTCGCCTCAAGTTTTGGATTTTGGCTTGCACACTGTTTGGTCAGCTTTCGAGTGCTCTCGGTGGCTTCCTGCTACCTCGTTGTGACTCTGCCCGTGAATCGGGTTGCCGGGCTCAGTCTCATGACTTGTTTGCAGGACCCGCTGCTTTTCGTTACGGTGAGGCCACAAACCCCGGACCATCAGCTCCGTTCTGCCTCAGCACCAGCAATCCTTCTGGACTCCGCAATAAAGAGTCCTTCTACGCCGACTGGGGTGTCGGTATCCACTGCTTCGCTGAAACTCAGCTTTCGGCCACTACCCTGCCAGCCTCTAAGGCTCAGTTCCGTCGCCATGCAAAAGACATGGGCAGGCTCGCTCGCATTATCTCTGGTGCCCCCGCACCGCTTCGAACTAATAGCCTCTGGGCTGGGGCCTGGACTGGCGTTCTGCAGGTCAGCGACCTTCCTTGTAAACCCTTTCAACTCCCGTGGCCATCCGGCCTTTACGAGTCCGGTCGCGTCATGCTTGCACAGCATTATTTGGAATCGACTCCTTTGCAGGTCGCCACCGTTTATGGATACCCTGCTGGTCCCACTTGGCCTGACGCGCAGGCCCGGACGGACAACATGCTCCGCTGCCTGACCCAAGAACTGGTTCTGGGATCTCGGGGTTTCAGAGTCATCACTGGTGATTTCAACCATGATTTCGACCGCCTGGATCAGTGTGCTGTGTGGCGCAGCCATGGTTGGGTTGAACTGCAGTGTTTAGCAGAGCGCCTTTGGGGCACCGCGCCGCAACCCACGTGCAAGCATGCAACTCGTCACGATTACATTTGGCTGTCCCCAGAGGCGGCCGCATGCTGCACTAAAGCCACTGTTCTTGATGTCTACCAGGAGCACTCTACTTTAATTGCTGGGTTCTCTCTTTCCGGCCACGCCGTTACTGAGACTACCTGGCCATTGCCTGCAGAAATCCCTTGGGCCTCTATCAGTGTGGATGCTTGGCATCAGGCTGGTTCTCATCTTCCGGTTGCCACCGAAGATTCCACGAAGTGGTTTGCGACTTTCTCCCACGCTGTTGAGCGCAGCTTGCGTGGCTTCGTGTTCCCCTTCCCTGGCAACCAGATCCCTTCTTCTTGCTTTGGACGAGGACAACGTTGTGCCCCGCAAGTACAGTGCCATCATACCTCGATCCCCAGGCCGAGTCGCCCCGGTGAGGTTGCTTTACGCCATGATGGCTTGTGTGCTGAGGTCAAACGTTGGTTCCAGCAGCTACGGAGGCTGCAGTCCTTGAAGCATGCACTTCTTGCGGCGAGTCCCAGCCCTGCTGCAATTGATTACCGTCTTTCTCTTTGGCGTTCAATTCGCTTGGCCAAAGGCTTCTGTGGAGGCTTCCCCGGTTGGTGGCCCGACCGGCCACTCGATTGGTTGGCAGCCCGTCCGAGCTGCCCGAGACTGTGCCGGACCCCACCACTGCCACCAGTATCTTCGAAGATTTCCGCTGCAACTTTCGACGTCTGGAATCCTGGCACATGAAGCGCAGGGGACAAATTCTCGACTGCAAGTACGATAAGTCATTGAGTCAGGTTTTCCGGGAGCTTCGAGACCCGACACCGGAGCAAGTGGACACTTTGACAGTGTCCCGTGAGTACGCCATTTTGGCTGTTTCTTCTCAGGGCACCCAAGTGCACTTGGACTCTGCACCGGACCTCCGTGGCACATCCTCTTGGGCCGTTGATGGCCAACCGGTGGCAGTAACTGATGTGGATGACGTTGTGTGCACCTTGTCTGCCCCTGCATGTCCCGGTCAAGAGCTTGAGCAAACACAAACCCTCTCCTCTGTACCGGATGTTCAGGCTGAATTCGTTTCATTATGGGCCGGCCGATGGCAAAAACATGCCAACACTACGGCCGCACATTGGCAGCGCTTCTTGGCCTTCGCCACTGCTTTCCTTCCTCACCAGACTTTTTGTCTGCCTCGCATCACCGTCGATGATTGGCTTCGTGCAGTGCGTCGCTTTCGTCCCAGAGCTGCCCGAGGGCCAGATGGATGGGCTAAGGCTGATCTTCTTCACATGCCGCCTGCTCGAGTGCAGCAGCTCCTCGACTTTCTTTCGGAGCTCGAGGCTGGCAAGCGTCCATGGCCTCAACAGATGGTGGTCGGTTTCATTTGTCTGTTGTCCAAGCAAAATGGCCGGACTGATGCACATGGCTATCGCCCGATTTGCCTCTATTCCATTGTGTATCGCACGTGGGCGGGCCTACGAGCCCGGCAAACTCTCAATGCACTCAAATACTGTGTGCCGGAAGGCCTCCACGGCTTCGTCCCAGGAAGAGAGGCTACCACTCTGTGGTACAGCATACAAGCTGAAATCGAGTTGTGCGCTCAAGGCGAGGCCCCGCTTCTTGGTTTTAGCACGGATATAATAAAGTGCTTCAACAATCTCCCACGCTTGCCTCTGTTGACTTTGGCGGCTCAGCTCGGGATTCCTTGGCAAGTGCTCAATCCCTGGGCCTCGTTCTTGGATCAAACAGAGCGCCGTTTCCACATCCGTGGACAGGTCAGCTCGCCGCTCAAATCGACTTCAGGCTTCCCCGAGGGCTGTCCTCTTAGTCCCGTGGCAATGCTCCTGGCCGATGTCGCGTACCACGCGTACATGCAGGCGTTCGTGCCGGAAGTTCGGTCACTGAGTTACGTTGACAACCTCGCTGCTATGGCTTCTTGTCCTGCTCATCTTGTCCGTGGCTATCATGCCACTCAGTGCTTCATGGACTTGCTCGATCTGAGCTTGGACGAAACCAAGACCTACACGTGGGCCACACAGCCACAGCATCGCAAGCAGCTGCAGGCATTGGGACCTCCGGTCCAAACCTCGGCGCGTGAGTTAGGCGGCTTCCTTGCCTTCGGGACCAAGGTTCACAACGCTGCGCTGCAGCAAAGGTGCACAGCTTTGGCTCCCCAGTGGGCTGCACTACGCAGGTCGAAGGCCCCTGTTGCCTTGAAGCTGGCTGTTTTGCCGAACAAATGCTGGGCTCGGGCACTCCATGGCATCTCCGGCTGCCCTCTGGGTATATCCCACCTGAGCAATCTGAGGGCCTGTGCTACTGCGGCCTTGAAAATCCGTCCTGGGGGATCCAGCTCCCTGCTTCGTTTATGTCTGGCACCAGATTTGTGCGCTGATCCGGGTTTTTACCAGCTGTGGGCGTGTGTGCGTGATCTGCGACGTATGGCCGAAAAAATGCCAAGCCTACTTCACCTGTGGCGTGGTTACATGACTTCACTCGATGGCCGCTCTTTGCACGGGCCTTTCACGAAACTTCTTCAGGTGCTCTCTCAAGTCGGCTGGTCGGTCCTTTTCCCTCCAATGGTGCAGGACCATGAAGGTCTTCAGCATGATCTGGTCGGGGCCCCTGCCCGCTTAATCCGTCGCAGACTTGAGCACGCATGGCTGGGCTTTGTGGCGCACGCTCACCAACACCGCGCAACAATGCATGACCTTCATGGCCTTGACCCCAGTCTCCTGCAGGCGGACGTTAGCGGCCTCAGCTCCCTTGACGTGGCGCGTTATGCGGCCATCCGTTCCGGCGCGTTCCTCTTCGACCACCAGCAGTCGCGCTTCGACCTGGCTAAGACGGGGAACTGCGAACTCTGTGATGTGCCAGATGATGCAAAGCATCGAGTGTGTCATTGTCCAAAATATCAGGCCGCCCGAGAACCACACGCGTGGGTTTGTGCCAAATGGCATGTCTTGCCGACGTGCTTCACACATCACCTGTTGCCGCCTGATAATCCCTACTTACCCAGCCTTCGCAGACTCCTCGTTGGCTTGCCGGACCTTTCCGGGGTTTTTGCCTGTTCTGGGTTCGGTTCAGGGTGGCAGCATCTTTTCACCGACGGTACCTGCTGTGAAGCTGGTAATCCTGATTTGGCACTTGCGGCATGGGGGGTGATCCACTCTCAACATGGTCTTGCAGTGGCATGCGGCCCTGTGCCTGGTGTGCTACAAACAGCCCCAAGAGCTGAAACCTGGGCTTTAATAGCTGCAGCCAAGTGGGCACTGCACTTTGCGCTGCCTTGCTATGTCTGGTCAGATTGCCTCAACGTTGTGGACGGCGTCAATGCCATCCAAACTGGGACAGCTCTCGAGGCTCAAACCGACGCAGACCTGTGGGACATTTTGGCCGCGCTTCTTTCACAACTGGACCCTGCCAACTTCTTGGTTCGTCATACTCCATCGCACCTGGATTTGAACTTGACGGAGTCCCCGGGGGAGGACTGGCTTGCAAAACACAACGGGCACGCCGACACATTGGCCTCATTGACCAACTCGAACAGGCCACAGGCGTTTCTGGAAGTCTACAAGGCTGCCCATCGCCATCATCTGGATTCTCTGCAGGCTCTTCGTGCACTTCGTGGCATCTATTTTGGCATTGCTGCGATCACAGCTGGGCATCCCAATACCCAATCTACGGAACAAGATCCTGTCGAAGAAGAGGATCCGGCGAGGCCTTTGGCAGTCCCAAGACGGTGTGAACTCGAAGATGTGCTTCCGGTCGGTTGGACCCTGTTGGCAACACAAGGCTCTCATGGCCTGCCCGATGATTTTATTCTTGCTCTGTGCAGGTTCGTTTTTGTACAGGATGCCTCTGCAGAGCAGGCCTTTGAGGTAACGTGGCTCGAACTTGTTTTCATTCTGGAACTTAGTGGTGGTTTTCTGTACCCGGTTGCTGGGCCTCGGGGTGGTTGGGTCTCTTCGGCCACGATTGCTTTTCTGCCTCCCCCACCAACGGTGGCTGGAAGACTTAATCTGGTGAGGCGCGCACTTCGTTGTGCTTTCAAGAGCCTTCGGCTTCAGGGCCTTTTCGTTTCTGGAGTTGATCGTTCTGATTTGGGTATCGGGTTTCGTCTCGATGGCATTGTTTTTGGAGTTGAAGGCTCGCTTTTGCTCCGAGCCAGGGCAGCACTTGGT